GGGAAAAGGGCAGTTTCTAAAAACGTGGTGTTTGGATTCAACATTGACGGAGAGCCAGCAGGGCCGGGTGTGCTGGAGAGAGCACAGAATGAGAGCTGATCGGATTTGATGCCAGCAGATTCTGGTGCCTAGATGCAGAAGCCCACTGAGAGGGGCATGGGCGGAGGGACAGGTGTCTTTTCAACCCTGGGAGCGTGAGGAAGGAGGTGGACCTGGGAGGCGTGAGGGATGCAGGAGAGGCATCCCGCACTGCAGGAGAAGGACTGGAGTAGGGGAGTCAGGCAGGAGGGTCGGGGAGGGCAAGGGTCCCTGGGCTTTGGACGGACGTGAATTTAAGGAGAATGTGGTCGGCTTGCCAGGGTCTGTGTTCCCAGCCACCTCCAACTTCCTGGGGCGCAGGCCCTGAGAAGGCTGTGTTGGAGCTGGCCGGCCGGGGTTTGGGTTTTGCCAGATTGATTGGAGGAAGTGCAGGCAAGGGAGCTTCTGGACTAAGTGAGGAAGTGCCTCCAGATGGGAGAGGGGGAGGTTTGTTCTTGCCAAGGAGACGGAGGAGAAAGGGGCTGGGCCACCAAGTTACCGTGTGGTGAAATCGCTTGGCCCCTCACAGGGAGGACAGAGGCAGGAGAGTCCGGCCCTCACGGCACGGGCACTGCTGATGCAGGCAACGGCCGCCCCTTTCCCCGTCCAACGGAGCTCCTGGAAGTGGGTGCCGGCAGCATTGCAGGGCAGGGAGCCTCATCCAAGTGGCAAAACCCTGAGAGCCGTCTCCGTTCAGAACCACATTAATGCACGAGCTGCACATGTGCACGAGCGGAACCTCAAAAGGTTGGGCAAGAATGGAATGAAAAGATCAGCTTATTTCAGTTCAAAATGTTTGAAATCCATGCATATTTTCCCTTAATACACAGTTTCAATGAGCCTTATGTGTGTAGAGCCCTCCTGTACAAGTTCAAATTTTTAAAAACGTAGATTTATTTATGTATTTGAAAGGCAGGGTTAGAGAGAGAGAGAGGGACCTAGAGAGATCTTCCCTCTTCTGATTCACTCCCCAAGTGACTACGACGGCCCCAGGGCTGGGCCAGGCTGAAGCCGGGAACCTAGATCTCCATTTGGGTCTCCCATGTGGTGCAGGGGCCCAAGCACTGCTGCTGCCCCAGGCACACCTGCAGGCAGCTGGATCAGAAGTGGAGCCGCCAGGACTAGAACCGGCGCCCATGTGGGAGGCCAGTGTCGTAGGGCAGCTAAACTGCTGCACAACAAGCAGCCCCTCAACTTTTTTTTTTTTCTTTTTTATCAGAAAATTCACTAGCCTCTGCTTCTATGAGGATCACCTGTGGGGCTGAACGTGCATCGTCTGATTCCGCCTCAGGTGGGGGTACTAGATTCTGTTTTTCTAACCATTCCCGGGGGAAGCCAGTGCTGCTGCTCCAGGGCCATGCATGGGGCAGAAAAGCTGAGTTCAGGCTGCAGAGAGCAGTAGCGGAAAAGAAGTGAGGAAAGGGACCCAACCTGTTCGGGCCCCAGTTTTATAACTGTGTTACCTGGTTAATAAGAAGAAATCTCTAGTGCAATCTGCCAGTGTGTCCATTTCACAGATGACAATCTTGAGGCTCAATGAGATTAAAATGTACCTGAGTTTGTACAGAAAATAAGTACAGAATAACAAACATCAACTCAGATCTGCTTTCATAACAAAATGAAATACATGTATAGGGGCCAGCACTGTGGTGCAGCAGGTTAAAGCCCTGGCCTGAAGCGCCAGCATCCCATATGGGCGCCAGTTCGAGACCCTGCTGCTCCACTTCCATTCCTGCTCTCTGCTATAGCCTGGGAAAGCAGTAGAAGATAGCCCAAGTCCTTGGGCCCCTGCACCCGTATGGGAGACCTGGAAGAAGTTCCTGGCTCCTGGCTTCAGATCGGTGCAGCTCCAGCTATTGCAGCCAGCTGGGGAGTGAACCATTAGATGGAAGACCTCTCTCTCTCTCTCTCTCTCTCTCTCTGCCTCTCCTCTGTGTAACTCTGACTTTCAAGTAAAATAAATAAATAAAAAAAGACATGTGTAGTGTAAAAAATTCATAAAGGCACACAGAATAAAAATAAACTCCTTCATATTCTCAACACCAGAGATCACTGCTACTAACACCTTGCTTTTAGTTTGCTTTTTTTTTTTTTTTTTTGACAAAAAACTATCTTTTTGTGTGTGACTTACAGATCTGACCTTGACTCTTGGCTGCATCCCATATAAATAAGACTTTAGACAGGTCTGTCCCTCCTGTTTTTTCCATTCATAAAATGGGGATAACAATAGCAACACAATAGAGTTATTATGGCAGTAAAGGAAGTTTTATGTAAAGTGCCTGAACCACTCCCTGGCAGATCAAAAGGGTTAATGAATATCAGTGCCTGTGAATTTTATTACTATGCCTATCAAAAAGGAGGAGAAATGCCTCCTGTGAAACCTTTACAGGTCGGATGGAGCAGGTGCCAGCAATCCTCAGGCTGGAAGCTGCTGGCTCACCAGTCGGTGGTCCTGTATGTGGCTTCTCCACCCTTCCCTCTGCAGGTTCTGATTCCCTAGGTAGGGGTCAGGGAGCAGGAATCTGGAATCTGCATTTGAAATAAGCTCCCCCAGGTTGCTGGGTGGCTGGTGGCCTGGGGACCAGATTTGGAGGGGAGCTGGTTGTTCAGGTCCCAAGTTTCCTGTGAAGGCTGTGTGGGTGGCCCTTCCACTGGTGTGGCCCTTCTCTCTATGCAGTTGATACAAAGTCTGGGCTCTGGTGTCTAAATTACCATTGTGTTGCTGTTTATCTTGGCCAGGTGGTTTGAATTCACCTGGCCAGAATCTCTCTCTTTGTACAGCTGCCACACTGTGACTGAGCTCTGCCTAGCTCCCAGAACAGAGGGCTCCCTGCCTTGACCAACCAGGGCTGAGTGTGGCTGTGGCGGTGGCGTGCCCAGGGCGTGCGTCGTCGCTGGGCAGGGCAGACTGTGCCTGCGTGCTGTGAGAGACCCGCCTCTCTCACAGCAGACATGCAACAGACGCCTGCAGGATGAATGCACTGAGTTGCATTAAATCACTTGCACAAAATGACCTTCTCTGTACAAAGCGCACCACGTGTGGTAAACTAATCCACCCTGCACACCTTGTGTTCGAACGTGGGTCAGAAACTACGGCCCTGAAGACAGTTTTCAGAAGCCCAAACCCATTTGTATATACCCTTTGATTCTGGAAGGAGAGGTCTCGGCTAGGAGAGAGACTGGTACACTACAGGGATGCGGTCAAGGCCAATGTCTCCCCCTCACTCCCAGCCAAAAAGATGCAGTGTGTTGGGGCTCCGCTTTGGGACAGCTCTGGAGTCCGAGGTCTGCTTACAGAAGAGGAAACTGATTTGGGCCAGGGAGTTAGGTAGGAAGAAATGAAGCTGGAAGAACTGTTTTTTTTTTTTTTCTTAATTTCTGGACATCTCTGCATTGTAACTCTACCCGTTACCTGTCCAACCAGTATGCCCATGTAAACATGGTGCACTTCTAGCTCATCTGGGACCAGGAAGGAGGAGACACTCTGATGGCCACGTGGAAGTTAAATTCCATGTGGTGGCGCTGTGCAGCGCCCAGACAGCCTTGTGCTGTCTCCACCCTGTCTGAATTTTTGGCTAGGGTACCACTCTCTGTCCCTAACAGTGTGGGAGGGGCCCTGCTTCTGCTCTTTGCTTCTGGGTCAGGCTGATGCATCCTCCTCTGACCTCACTCCCCGCCCCCACCCTCCTCTCAGGCAGCTCTCTAGCCCACGCATGAGCCCTGTCTGTCCCTGTAGGGTGGCCCACACCCAGACACCAATGTAGAGTCATCTCTCTCCTTATAAGTTCTGTGTTTATGCCTTGGCTTTGAATCCTTATCTCTGTGTGGCCAAGAACTTGAAATAAAAATTCAAATACTAGGGCCAAGGCTGTGGTGTAGCAGGTAAAGCCACTGCCTGCAGTGCCAGCATCCCATATGGGCACCGGTTCGAGTCCCAGCTGCTCTACTTCTGATCCAGCTCTCTACTATGGCCTGGGAAAGCAGAAGAAGATGGCCCAAGTCCTTGGGCCCCTGCACCCACGTGGGAGACCTGAAAGAAGCTTCTAGCACTGCAAGCAACGGCTTTACCAGCTATGTCACAGCGCCAGCCTCTCTTTTTTGTTTCAATCAGTTCTCAGAAGTTGACTACTTAGCCGCTTGTATCAAAATCATACCTGCAGCTTGCTAAATGCAGAGGCATGAACTCCCCTCTGAAATCAGACCTTTGTGGGATAGAGACTTGGGAATCTATGTTTCTAGTAAATCAAGCAGGTGAATTGGATACGCAGTAACACGCTAACATCACTAGTTAACAAAGGAGATCTTTTTTTTTTTTAAGATTTATTTATTTATTTGAAAGTCAGAGTTACGCAGACAGAGGAGAGGCATAGAGAGAGAGAGAGAGAGAGGTCCTCCATCTGCTGGTTCACTCCCCAACTGGCCACAGCAGCTAGATCTGCACCGATCCAAAGCCAGGAGCCAGAAGTTTCTCCAGGTTTCCCACGTGCGTGCAGGGGCCCAAGGACTTGGGCCATCTTCTACTGCTTTCCCAGGCCATATCAGAGAGCTGGATCTGAAGAGGAGCAGCTGGGACTAGAACTGCTGCCCATGTGGGATGCCGGCGCTTCAGGCCAGGGGGCATTAACCTGCTGCGCCACAGCGCTGGCCGCACAAAGGAGATCTTTAAATTAACCTCAGGAAGGATCAGATTCTTAACTCCACCCAATCTTTTTTTTTTTTTTTCTTAAGATGATTTATTTTGAAAGTCAGAGTTAGAGAGACAGAGATAAATAGAGATAGAGAGAGATCTTCCATCTACTGGTTCACTCCCCTGAGGGCCACAACAGCGGGTCCTGGGCCAGGCTGAAGCCGGGAGCCAGGAGCTCCACCTGGGTCTCCCACATGGGCCGGGTTCTTGTAAGAGCCCTACCACGTTGCTTAAATTCAGACCCTGGCATTGTTGACTATCAGGATGGATTCTTGGAGGAAGCCGGGGGGCATGGATTAAATCATGCATTTTTAATAGGGTGAACTGGAAGCTGGCATCCCCGGTGAGCTATCCCTGGGAGAGAACAGGCGTTCCAGGGATACTGTGGACAGCCAGCCCATGCTGGGGCTAACAGGCAAGGACATAGCACTCCCTGTTCTCGCAATAACCCTGCACCTGCAGTTTAGCTAACAGTGTCTCTGGGGCTTCTGTTGCTATCAAATTTATGCCTTATGAAATGTCAAAAGGGAAACGCTGCTTCCCTAATACAGCAAGAAATTTCTTTCTTTTTCCTTCTTTAAAATTTCCCTTTATGTAATGCCTTCCTGGAGGATTTTTGCAACCCTGGATAAATATTTCTCTGTCAATGCAAACAGAAAAGAGCTTAGAACGTCTCAAGGAGAGACACCCTTGCCTCTTTCTGAGACTGGTTTGCAAAGCAGATGAGGCGGGGCGTCCCAGTGTGTGCCGGGAACTGGGCATTTGCACGGGTTGCACGTTCCTTCACCGGATGGAGTTACCTGGAGAAGAAAGAGCATACATCGCTGTTATTAAGCGGGCAGGGGTTCTGGATTTTGCGTGCAGCTCAGCAGCCTGACAATACAGAAGAATCAAGCGACCTCTCAAAGCTTGCACTCAACCCATCTCTGAGTCCAGTCCATGCTCCCTAGGTCCCACTCCTCCAGGAAGTCTGCTGGGATTCCTTTAGCTGAATGACCACTTTCACAGGGACGCTTATTCGTCTTGAGCTCCTACCTTGCTTTATAGACATTATTTCCTTTACTCCTCTAGGAAACCCAGGGAGGTGGGTTTATAAAGCCACTTTATAAAGGGGGAAGTTGAAGCCCTAAGTTTTGGTTGAGAGGTTAAACAGATACAAAATGCAATTCACCTCCCCCACTGTTTATTTAGCTGGGTGATATTAGGTCTTAGCTAGCATTGTTTCCTCATCTATACAATGAATCTCATACTGCATTTTCAGGTTCGTGGGAATTAGTTGTTGCCATGATGTATACATAGGGCTTAGCGCTGTGCCTGGCTTAGGGATGCACTTACTAGCATTGGTGTTACTCCGGGAAGGTATCAAAGCAGAGAGGGCCAGGGCGGGAATTGGGGCCCAGGTCTGTGAGGCTCCAGAGCTTGGGACTTCCTGGTTGTGCCATTGATGTCTGCATCTAGGAAGCCTCATGTTGTCAGACTTGATACTCTTCTGTTCTCTGTTCTGCCTGTCTGAAGACATGGCCATGGAACAGACTTCTGTGGCTTCTGGCTCCAGGGTCGGAGTCAGCTTCCCAGGCATTGGCATCAAAGCGGCGAACCTTGGAGATAGATCTATGTTACCTTGAACATTTAAAGCAAAGATTAAAAGTGGATCAGGAAAGAAGGAAAACATGCATAGATAAAGCACATTAAATAAGATTAAGTTTATGATGAAGTTCTTGGGGCAGAACACCCCCCCCCCCCCATGGCCATGCTGACTGTCCGAGGTCTATGTTGAAAAGCCCTCCCCAACACACTCACTGAGTCCCAGAAAGAAGCTAAACCAACGTGGACTGTATAGAATTTCCCTGTGTTTGAAGCCGGCGCCCGGCTCACTAGGCTAGTCCTCTGCCTGCGGCGCCGGCACACCGGTTCTAGTCCTGATCGGGGCACTGGATTCTGTCCCGGCTGCCCCTCTTCCAGGCCAGCTCTCTGCTGTGGCCAGGGAGTGCAGTGGAGGATGGCCCAAGTGCTTGGGCCCTGCACCCCATGGGAGACCAGGAAAAGCACCTGGCTCCTGGCTTCACATTAGCACGGTGCGCCGGCCGCGTCATTGAAGGTGATCACGCAAAGGAGACCTTCTTCTGTCTCCTCCCTCTCCTCACTGTCACTTACCTGTCCAAAATAAAAAAAAAAGAAAAGAAAAGAATTTCCCTGTGTTTGGATCCCACTCCGGCTTGCTTTTCCCATTTTCTTATTTGGGAAAAACCCACCCTCTCCTGAAAAGTGACAGACAAGGAACCCAAATTGCTACTTGGTGATGCCACACTTGGTCTTAAAAACCTTTTAATGTGCAAAGAGACAGTAGCCCTGAAAGCAAGAGTTCTGGAGCCTCAGGATGAAGTCCAGGGCTGAAATCAAGGTATTGGCTAGGGCTGCACTTTTTATCGGAGGTGTGAGGTCCTCTTCCAAGCTTGTGGGTTGTTGGGAGAATTGATTTCCTTGTAATTGTAGAAGGGAGGCCCCGTTTTCCAGAGGGCTGCTGGCTGTGGATTACTTTCAGCTCCTGGAGACTGCCTGGGGCTGTGTGCTGGGTCACCACTACAGGTAGCTCACAACACCACTCTGCTGTCCTGTAGACCCACGAGATTCTCTGTCTCCTTTTCCTTGTGACTGCTTGACCCCTCGTGAAGAGCACGTGTCATTAGGACGGGCCCACTCTGGGAATCTCCCTTTTGGTTAACTCAACTGATTAGGCACATGCATCACGTTGGTCAATTTCTATTTCACCATAGAATGTAACAATCACAGGTATTGGTATCCCATCCTCCCCGTAGGGCTTGCCTGTGCTCTGGGGGAGAACCTGAGACCTGGACAGTCCTGTGAGAATTCTGCCCAACACGTTCCTTGTAGAAGGAAAATAGGAATGGTGTGTGCCTTTGGCGGATCACAGAGCATGCCATAAAGACCTGTCACAGAATAAGTGCTGGGTAAATGTTAGCCATTAGACTCTCAGAGGAGTCTCATGTGAGTCTCTGGAGTGCATGTCCAGAGTAGGACCCGCCCTCTGGACTTAAGGACTACAGAGCCTCCTCCGAAAGCATCATGTCCTGATAAGCCCATTACAAGCTCAAATACCGTAAGTCAGAAATGCACCTGATACCCCCAGCTTGCCCCACACCCTGCTCAGCCCCCCAGCCCGCTGTGGAGCTGCAGGCATTTCTCAATGATCAGGGGCTGACTGGGAGCTGTGGCTCTTGGCCACTTCCCAGTGCTGCTGAAGGGGGGATGATAGCATGTCTTGTTAGCCCAGGAAAAGACCAAAATTCAAACCTGACCTATGATTTCTAGCGAGTGCATACTGCTTTTGTATTACAGCAAAGTAAAAAATCAGAAGTTGAAGCATCGGAGGCCCTGCACCATGTACAGTTGGATTCAGTGATGCAACAGCAACCCCATTTCAGTTTTGGTTTCTTTATTTAGCAGTTGTATTGCTCCTCAAACTTTCTCCAATGTTTTAGGCCCAACAGCTTGCAAACTCACTCTGCTGAATCTGAGGTGCAGCCAAAGGAGCCAGCACTACTTGAAAGTCTTATGTTGAACTTTAAACTTAAAATATATCACATCGTATTTAACTCCTATATGTATTTTATTGATAATAACTAGTCTTCCTCCATCTGGAAAAATCTCTATACAAAATGTGTCAAACTCTTCTTTGGGGCAGTGCTGTGGTGTAGTGGGTAAAGCCATTGCCTGCAGTGCCGGCATCCCATATGGACGCTGATTCTAGTCCGGGCCGCTCCACTTCTGATCCAGCTCTCTGCTATGGCCTGGGAAAGCAGTCGAAGGTAGCCCAAGTCCTTAGGCCCCTGCATCTGTGTGGGAGCGCAGCTCCAGCCATTGAGGCCAGCTGGGAAGTGAACCAGTAGATGGAAGAACTCTCTCTCTCTCTCTCTCTCTCTCTCTGCCTCTCCTTTTCTCTTTATGTACCTCTGACTTTCAAACAAATAAATAAATCTTAAGAAAAGTCTTCTTCTTCACTATCCATTTGTTTACTTAAAAGACAGAGGCAATTCTTCCCATCCAGTTATTCCCTGCTCAAATGCCCATAATATCTAGGACTGGCTTAGGCCATAGCCAGGAGCCAGGAATTCTATCCACGTCTCCCATGTGGGTGGCAGGGAGCCAAGTACTTGGGCCGTCACTGCTGCCTCCCAGTGTGCACATTAGCAGGAAGCTGGGTTCAGTGCAGAGCTGGGACTTGAACCCAGGCGCTCTGATAGGGGATACAGGTGTCCCAAGCAGCCTCAGCTGCTGTGCCAAACGCCCGTCTGTCTGTGCTTCTCAAGTGCCCAGGGCCATTGGTGTGCTCAAGTGTCCCCGTTGAGAAACACAGCCCTGAAGAAGACTTCACAGTCTTTATCCACCTTATTGATACAACCAAGAAAAATTTCTGAGCACTTACATCAATACGGGGGTGCTTCATAAAGTGTGTGGGGAAATGGAATTAAAAGATGTTTCTTAGATATAAAAAATTTTGGAATCCATGGATAGATTTTTAATAATACACATTTCCATGAACTTTTTGAAGTTCATTTGTGTATATATAGTTATGATAAACTATATGCATGTACTACAATTTATATACTAAATACATGATGTATCAAAAATAGAAATTATTCAAGATTTATTTATTTATTGTTTTATTTGAAAGAGTTAGAGAGGGAGGGAGAAAGAGAGAGAGAGAAAGAGCAGGAGCGCAGACTCTTCCGTCATCTCTGTTGCTTTTCCTAGACCATTAGCAGGGAACTGGATGGTAAGTGGAGCAGCTGGGACTCGAACTTGTGCCCATATGGAATGCTGTTGTGGCAGGCAGTGGCTTTACCCACTGTGCTGCACCACCAGCCCCTCAAAATAGAAACTTTTTTTTTTTTGACAGGCAAAGTGGACAGTGAGAGAGAGAGAGAGAGAGAGAAAGGTCTTCCTTTGCCGTTGGTTCACCCTCCAATGGCCGCTGTGGCTGGCACACTGTGCTGATCCGATGGCAGGAGCCAGGTGCCTCTCCTGGTCTCCCATGGGGTGCAGGGCCCAAGGACTTGGGCCATCCTCCACTGCACTCCCTGGCCATCGCAGAGAGCTGGCCTGGAAGAGGGGCAACCAGGACAGAATCCGGCGCCCCGACTGGGACTAGAACCCGGTGTGCCGGCGCCGCAAGGTGGAGGATTAGCCTAGTGAGCCGCGGCGCCGGACCAAAATAGAAACTTTAAAAGGAAGAGGTGAAAGGCAAGGGTGAATGAATGGATGTTTCAAAGTTTCGTCCCTGGACTCCAGGGGTCATTGGGTAAAACCCTTGGTGCAGACACAGTGCTGTGAAGGTCACTAACCTAAAGGGAATGCCGTAGTTGGCGCTGGCCATCACCTACTTCCTGCCCCATCCGCTCCTTAGGAAGGCACCTTGGAGTCGAGTCGGACAAGGGCACAAAGAGCTGTAAGGGAACCTCCTCTCTTTAGTCCCTTCTCAGTGCAGGAAGCAAAGCCTTTGAGGAGAGGGAGCCCAGGAATCGCTGCCTCTCAGTCTCTCTTTCTCAGTCGCTCCCTCCACCTTTTTGTCTCTCACTTTCTCCTTGTCTCTCTCTGTCTCCCTTTCAATCTTCCTCTTTCTTCCTCTCTTCCTTTCCCTCTCCCTGTTGCTTTGTTGAAGGGAGGAACTCAGCACTGGCCGAGCGCTCACTGTGTGTAGCTGCAGCGCTCCGAGCTGGCCGAGTCCCTGAGTCCTTGTGTGATGGGCGGAGCAGAGTCCAGCTCTGCACGCGGATTTACCGGTTCTCCTATTTCATCCCAGTCCTGATGTTTGATGAGAGTTTGTTTGTGTATTTGGGTCCTGTTAAGGACGCAGACTCTGTGTGTGAGAGGAAGGATGAGATTATGTGGTGTAAACTCTGGGAGTCCTTTTACAGACAGGTAGGGATGTTAAGGATACTCCGCTCTCCCGCTATAGTTTGTGGGTTGAGATGGAGTCCCCAGAGGCTCCTGTTCAAAGGTCATCAGAAATCACCTGGGTCTGTGGGTGACGATCGATGGCTTGCAGGCCCAGTGCAGGCTCGCTCGTGTGCATTTCGTCCATGGCGGCTTTCCTGCAGCAAGAGTTGAGCTGGGTGGTGTGGACAGAGGCCATGTGACTCCAAACCTAACATGTTTATGCTGTGACTTCTTACAGGACAAGCTTGCTGGCTCCGATCTGGTCCAGAGGCCACATTTTGATGTGTACTCCTATTAGTTAAAAAAGTTAACCATGCATCCTCTAACCTATATATTTGTTTTATTTATAAAGCATTTAATAGCACTACTATCCTAATATATCTTTTCCATCATCAAACATTTACCCCAAATTGAAATTTAAAAATGATTTGAGAATAAGTTCAATGTTGAGAATTTTCTCTCAGTGCCCCTAAGGGTTAGTCTCCTCCTTCTGTGGTCTAGAGATACAGAGACCGATGTAGACAGTGATTTCTCCATGATGCCTCTAGACGAGTCACAGATGTTCTATAATTAATGAAAGGATGGCTCTCCACCAACGTGGGGTTCAATTCCGTGAAACTCCAAATTTCTCACTTCCACCCCTCTGCTCTATCATGTTTATGTGACAGATTTCACCCCAACGGAGAATTTTGTTGCTAAACAGTGTTTCAAAACGGGCCAGAATCCTGCTTCCAGTCATGATGGAGTGAGAGGGCCTGGACTGTTCCTCTCACGGTGAACTCCTAGGAAACAAGACAACACGCGTGGACCTTCTATGAAACTGTTTGCAGACTTTGGACAACAGGAAGCCCGAGACATGAGCTCTGTCATGATCCTGGCTTCCAGCCCGCGGCAGTAGCCTGTTTGAGTAGCAGGGGGCCCTTGCCGAGAGGAAGAGATGGGGGGTTGGAGTTCAGGAAGGCTGTGGGGATGCAGCCAGCAAGGAGGGGGAGATGCAGAGAGCTCCAGAAATCTATGTAGGAATCCCTTTAAGTCAGTTGCTGAGTACTGAGCTGGATGCCTTAGGTGCAACCCCATGAGAATGATTTGTGAATTACAGGCTGAAGAATTCTCAGAGCTCCCAGGGGGCTGGAGACAGTGGGGGTGCGACCACACAGAGGGAGAGAGCTCATGGACACTCAGTGCATTCTGTAGCGACCCAGAGGGTCACGCTCAGTACTGGTGCTGGAGTAACCCTGGAGTAGATGTTATTGAATATCTTCCATGTTGTTGGTTCAATCCATAGACAGGGAAACCCTGGATACAGGGGGCAGGCGGTGCATACAAAACACATGGAAGAGCAGTTGGCTCATAGGAGTGTGATATAAACATTAGTTTGTATTATTGTGTAGTTTTCCACTAAGTCTGTGCTGAACAAGGACAATGGTTCATTTCTCTGCTGTATTGATCAGCAATCTTGGAGGCAATTGACAAAAACAACTCAGGTTGGCTTAGGCCAACTTGGAATTCAAGGGTGGATCAAGCTTCAAGCATATTTTGCTCAGAGTAATATCTAGAGGCCGGCGCTGTGGTGTATCGGGTAAACCCACTGTCTGCAGTGCTGGCATCCCATATGGGAGCCAGTTTGAGTCCCGGTTGCTCCACTTCCGATCCAGCTCTCTGCTAATGTGCCTGGGGAAACAGTGGGAGATGGCCCAAGTCCTTGGGCCTCTGCACCCACGTGGGAAACCTAGAAGAAGCTCCAGGCTCCTAGCTTTGGATTGGCCCAGCTCTACCCATTACAGCCATTTAGGGAGTGAACCAGCAGATGGGAGACCTCTCTCTCTCTGCCTCTGCCTCTGTAACTCCTCCTTTCAAATAAATAAATAATCTTTTTTTTAAGACTAACATCTAACAAGTACAGATGTGAAGCAAAATCCAAGGAGAGGGGCCGGTGCCGTGGTTCATTTGGTTAATCCTCTGCCTGTGGTGCTGGCATCCCATATGGGTGCCGGGTTCTAATTCCGGTTGCTTCTCTTCCAGTCCAGCTCTCTGTTGTGGTGCCCAAGTGCTTGGGCCCCTGCACCCACACGGGAGACCAGGAAGAGGCTCCTGGCTTCAGATCGGTGCAGCGCCAGCCGTAGCAGCCATTTGGGGAGCAAACCAATGGAAGGAAGACCTTTCTCTCTGTCTTTCCCTCTCACTGTCTATAACTCTACCTGTCAAATAAATAAATAAATAAAAGATTAAAAAAATCCAAGGAGAACTGAATGAAAAGCCTCATCAGAGACTTTTAAGAACTTAAATATTGGATGATTCTACTTTCTGAGGCATAGTCTTTTGGGGAATAATATTTCCTAATGTTCAGATATATTTGGAAACCTAACAAGAAACAAATAAACTTCTATTCATTTGTTCACTCAGCAAATATTGACTGAGCACCCGATATGTGTCAGTCTGTTTGGGATCCAGGGAATCCAGCACTGAGACAGAGAGCCAGACAGAGAGCCCTGGCTTTATGGAGCTTGTCTGTGCATGGTAGGAGGTAGGGAGTTTGTTAAGAAGATGAAAGAATGCTTAATGGAATCTGTTAAGGGGAGGTTGGAACTATAAGGGATGATAAGGCAGGTGGCATTTGGTGAGTGTTGGGATGTACTCATGGACACAGACCCTTTAAGAATTACTCATGGCATGGGATGGGTACGAGAGGGTACTTTCTAGGCTGGAAACCAGCTTCATGAAGTGGAATGGGTGGAAGTCACACACACACAGTGCAGGGTTGTGAGGGGTCTTGGACTTGTGAGTACTTCCACAACTGCTCTTCATGGTGGCACCACTCAAGGTGCAAGAGACCCTAATGATGTGGCAAGGCAAAGAGGCACCTGCAGGGAGGTGAGGGAGGGGTGAGTGACAGGAGTGAGCATGACACTCTCATGTCACCGTGCCCAGTATGACAGGCAGAACCGAGAGGGAAGCCACCTGCATGACAGGCATGAGTGGGAGGCGACCCAGGTGCTGCAGCCTGAATTCCCTGAGAACTGTTGCCTGAAGACGTCGGCTGGATGCACTGCTGAAGACAGGGAGGCCATGCAGGGACTGTGCTCACTGAGGCTGGTGTCGGAAGCAAGGTAGAAAGCACCGTTTGGCTCTGGGAGAAGCACGTTCCTTCTCCCAGCGGCACGTGTCCAGTCCTGTAAGTCATGAGAATGGAAAAACCAATATGGAGTTACTCATCCCGGTGTTTGAGGTCCAGCACACCCACTGGGCTATGCTTTTCTCACTAAAGCAATGTTACTGCAGTGACAATGGCAGGGACCCCAATGTCCCCACTGCCATAGTTCATTTTTTGTTTTGCTCTAGCAAAATAACTGAGGCTGGGTACTTTATAATGAAACGAATCTTAACTCACAGTTTTGGAAGCTCCAAGTCCAAGATTGGGTGGTCTGTCTGGTTTCTGGGGAGGACCCCTGTGCCTATCACATTACAAACAGCATCATGGCGGGAGCGTGCAAAAGAAGAGACCACTTGACAATACAGGAAGCCAGAGAAGTTCAGGGGCCAGCCTCATTCTATGATAGAGTGAACTCACTCTGCGAGACCAGCATTAATCCCTTCCAAAGGCAATGCCCCATGACAATTATCTTGTGTCAGATCCCACCTCTTATGGGTTCCGTCACCTCCCAACTGAGTTACACCAAGAACTACGTTGCAAGCACACAAACCAGTGTAGGGGGCACACCAGATCACACCCAGACCATAGCACCCAGCCCCCTATCTACATGGCTGTGTGGCTAGGTGGACTTTGGGACAGTCTTTGGAAGTCAGTGCTCCCTCTCCCTCCCCTCCTCCTCTCCTTCCCTCTCCCCCTCGCTCTCTCCCCTCCCCCCTCCACTCCCTCTCCTTTCCTCCTCCTCTTCCCCTTCTCCGTGCCTACCTGCCTGCATGAGCACGTTCATCAAGAGTCGGAAGGCGGTGGGATCCTGGGGCCTCGTGTCTGAGCCACGCACTCGCAGCTTCCCTGCGAGTGATACATCACTCCACTGTGATGTATCAGCTCATGGGAGGCTCCAGATGAAGCGCAGCCTTGACAACCGGCCTGCTATTGTTCTCCTATGGGAGCCGGAGAGATGGCTGCTGGGTCAGGGCTGGAGCAGTCTTGCCTGCCTCACACCCCACTGCTAAGAGACACGATTTAGAGGTGGAGGGAGGGGCTCTACCGTACTAGAAGAGACCGGTGGATGCATGATGTTCTGCAGCCAGGCAGGAATGGGTGCAGGCCCACCTAGCGTGTGAGTTACTTGATCTGAATCTCCTTCTCTGTGTAACAAGAACAATAGGACTTCTCATGCCCAGCAGTTGTGGTACAATTGGGTGATCTAAAAAAATTGCTTAACTTACTTTACTTGAGATCTATGTGTGTGTGTGTGTGTGTGTGTGCAGAGAGAGAGAGAGAGAGAGAGAGATTTCACATCTGCTGGTTCACTCCCCGAATGCTTGCAACAGCCAGTACTAGGCCAGGCCAAGCTAGGAGCTGGGAACTCCATCTGGGTCTCCTGCATAGATGACAGAGACCCAAGTACTTGAGCCATCGTCAAGTGCATCCTGGGATATACATGACCAAGAAGCTGGGATTGGGAATGGCTCTGAGGCCCGGGTGCTCCAACAGGGGATGTGGGTATCCTGAGAGGTGTCTTAACCTTCACGTCAAATTCCCACACCATGGCTTTATTTACACACATAAAAAATATATATGTATATATAAAATAATATATTATTCATGCATATAAAATCAAACACAACATATGCGGTCCATGGGTTGCAAAAGCTATTGTAAGAGTAATAACAACAAGACCAATATTTTTACTGAGCTTTGAGTTATGAATCAGGGAAGGTGCTCACACCTCCTGCCTGGAGCCCTGTCAGTTAAAGGTCTTGCTGTGGATGCTCCATGACAGAAATCCTGGTGGCGTTTGCTATGCAGCAAGGCAGTGTTGAGCAGTGGGAGGGCACTGGATTTAGAATCACAGTCTGAACTGAAGCTCCAGCCAGCTCTGCCACAGACCAATTTTGTATCCCTGAGCAAATAAGCTGCATCTTAAAAATTTGATATAACAGATTCACACATGAAAATAAACATCTAGAATAGAACTGCAATGTATCAGGAAGAAGAAATTAGGCACTGCCACCAGGCCGTCACCACCAGCACTGCCGAAGACCCCTGCAGCTCTTCTTCCATCTCATGTCCCACTTCCTCTGCACTCACTTCCTCTTCCTCTCCTCCTCTCCCTCTCCTCCCGTGTCTTAAATTCGTTTCTCCTTAATTTCTCATGCATTTGTTAAGTTTGAGTGAACCTGGTAGGTGGACAGTGCAATGCAGTTGGCTGTCTTGTTTAGAACTACCATCATTATGTTGCTACACACTGGAGATCTGATGCCCAATCATGCCTTTTTTTTCCAGCAAGATACCCCATTTCAACAGTCAGGTGCATTTTATCTTCCTGCTCTGTGCCTCATTGTTGGGTAGTAACTCCTGTGAATTCCATTTATTCGTTCTGGCTTGAGCAACTGGATCAGTCAAACTCGCTGAATTATGTATGGAGTGAGCTGGCTCTCATTCAGCCCCACGTGTCCTGCCTTCAAGTAAAGGACACAAACTTCATCGCCTGCATGTATAGATCTTTATTTCAGGGTTCAGAGGGCTTCTGTTCATTCCTCAGGTTAGGGCTGTGGGTTCGGGGCAGGGCTTTCTGATGTCGAATTTTTCTTAGACCATCATCCCTTTCGCTCATGCAACAAACCCTTATGTGTGCTGAATCTGTTGAGAATAGAGTGGCTTTTGAAGGACGGTTTATTTTTCCTCAAGGAGCTTCTGTTTTTGTGGGGCGGAGGTGGGGTGGGGTGGGTACAAGGCCAAGTACACCACGCAGACTCTGTGCTTTGAGAAAGAATGCCCAGAGCTTGGGGACAGGAGGGGAAGTAAAGTCCAGTGGTCAGGGAATGCTTCCCAGAATAAGTGACACCGGATCTGGGTTCCAAGGGTAGAGTCGGAGTCTGCTGGGAAAGGCATGGGAGGCTGAGTGAACACGACACACAAAGGTGTACCCCTGCAGTGGGACAGCGAGAGCCTCCTCTATCCTCCTTACCTTGGCACGGGTGCTTTTATCCAGGGAGGCCCCCTTAGCCTTGTGGCTTCCTTCATGTGCCTCATCAACCCATCTCACACCCAGTCATGCTGTCTCCCACGGAGCTCTCAGAATTTGCCCTTCTTTGCACATCAGTGTGCACCTGTTCTTGTCCAGCTACTCTCCTGCCTGGACTTCTGGAATCTCCCTCTAGTTGCTCCACTCAAACCCACTCCTGCTCCTGCTGGACCTATTTCCCCATCACCTGGAGTGAACATTTCTTCCACACCCTCCTGCTTTAGCCCTCAAAGGCCTCCTGTAGTCCTCAACACAAACTCCTAGCACCTGTGCCTTGGTCTTTGACCCCTCACCTGGACGTCCTCTGCTCTGTCTTCCTGCCCACTTCCTGCCTCCCTCCCTGTGCTCACTCCCAGAAGCCATGCTGGCCCTCGTCTCTGGCTTCGTTCCAGATTTTCTCTTTGTCTGGTTCTCGTATCATGCTGGCATGATACGAGTTTCCAAAGCCGTTGAGCCACGTTCCTTTCTCAGGGCCTTAGCACATGCTACGTGCTCCGCTCCCACTTGCTGTCTGGCCAGGTCATACTTATCTTTTGAATCTCAGCTTAATTATAAATTCCTCAGCAAATTCTTCTGGGATCTTCCAGGACTTAAAACTTTCTTCTTCCAACACACCTTTTTCCCCCATCACAGTTTGCAAGTTAAGCAACTACATATTTGTTAGTGGGTTTTCCAACACATTCCAAGTTCCAAGAAGGCAAGGACTATGTGTCATTTACTTCTCAAAACTCCATTTCTATCATACTGTGTAGCATATAGTAGGTCTTACTACAAGGGTCCTTCAAAAATTTGCTGAAAAATCAGATTAAAACATAAATTTACTTTGCTACAAAAAAAGTTTGCAATCCATGTGTATGAAGGATCTTCACTAAGTTCTCCAAAAATGAGTACATGAGTATTATGAAAAACTAGGCATGAATTTCAAATTTTTTGCACCAAAATGGACTTACTTTTAAATTCCATTTACCATAAACTTTTTGAATCCCTACATATTTATAAGTAGGATGAATGTATAAAAAAAAGAAGAATCCCCAAGGAAAACACAAACATTGGGCTAGAATAGTCAGAGGAGGTTTTCTATTCATGCATAGCTAATTACCAAAAACGTAGTAGCAGAAAACAGCCTACATTTGTTACCTTTGGAATCTTGGCATAGCTCAGATGAATCCTCTGTGCAGACCTCAAAGCACTACAGTCAAGATGTTGGTCGCACCAAAGTTCTCATCTGGAGCTGGGGTTTGCTGTGGTTTGAAGGTGTTTAGCCACAGTTTGTGTGTTGGAAACTTTATCCCCACCTTCCAGTGTTTGTGGTGTTTGGAGGTGGGGCTTCTCGGGATGGGGGCTAATGAGGATTAGATGAGGTTATGACAGTAGGCCCCCATGATGGCGTGAGGGGCTTTGCAAGACCCCAGCTCGCATACTTGCTCTGTATTGCCATAGGATGCCCTCCACCATGCTTAGATGACAAGATCCAAGAACTGAACCATCATTTGTCACTCCCCATGTATGACTGTATTCTTTCCAGGAAGCCCATATTGAAAGCTGAGTCTGGATGGTGCCGCGGCTCACTAGGCTAATCCTCCACCTTGCGGCGCCGGCACACCAGGTTCTAGTCCCGGTCGGGGCGCCGGATTCTGTCCCGGTTGCCCTTCTTCCAGTCCAGCTCTCTGCTGTGGCCCAGGAGTGCAGTGGAGGATGGCCCAAGTCCTTGGGCCCTGCACCCCATGGGAGACCAGGAGAAACACCTGGTTCCTGGCTTTGGATCAGCGCAGCGCACCGGCTGCAGTGGCCATTGAGGGGTGAACCAACGGAAAAGGAAGACCTTTCTGTCTCTCTCTCTCTCACTGTCCACTCTGAAGAAAGCTGAGTCTGGACTCCTACCAGGAGATATGGGATGTGGGTGTCCCAGATGGCTTCCCCCATCACCATTACTGTGAATTCTCTGACAACTGCATCGTATCTGAGTCTGGCTCTGGTGACTGCCTTGTCTGTGCTGACTGGTCCCTCGCCCCGGCTTGTCATCGTTTTGTTGAAGGCCACCCAAGTCAGGTAACAGGTGCAGGTAAAAAGCCCTTAGTGTAAGCATTTCTGTTAACCTGGCTGGAAGCTGGGCTGTGTTTAATGTTTGCTGTCACTCTTGGTGCCAGGGAGGCTTCTGGTGTCTCTGGCATCTCTGATGTCTTGATTTGTGTCTCCCTTCTTGACTGTTGACAAAGTGTTCCTCCCCAGAGGGGGTCTTCCTCTTGCAGCCCTTTCACTTGTGAATTATCTTCCTGAAGCCCTAGTGAGGTGGTGGCAAGATACGAGGGAAGGGAAACAGTCTACAACCTTTCAGCTCAGCCTCAATCCTTTAGAGGGCTTGTGTCCCGTGAAGATGAGCGTAGCTCGCTCCCTCTGCATCCACGGGTTCCACATCCATGGATTCAACCAACCACAGGTCAAAAAGATTTGGGGAATAAAACTGCATTGCACATGAACATACTTTCCCCCCTCTTCCTTGTTGTTATTCCCTGAGTCATATAACAACTATTTATATAACATTTATATTTTATTAGATATTAAAAGAAGTCTGAAGATTATTTCAAGTATGTGGGAGAGTATGCATATGGTATATGCAAATACCAGCCCACTTCAAATAAGGAACTTGAGCATCCACGGATGCTGGTATTGGCAGGGATGCCGGAAGCAAACCCCTGGAGATACCAAGGTGATAGAGCTTCCTGTGCGTAGTGCTCCCCGCTTCCTTGACACCCTCACCCTCGCCGACAGTGTCTTTCCTCCCCTTTGGTGAGACAGCTGTGCTGAAGAGGACCCTGGGAAAGCGCTCGTGAATACTAGCTGTTTGTTATGGGAAAGGACCTGGGCTTGTTTCCAAGTGATTGTTCCTCCTCTCCTGCTCCCAGAGCCATATGGGATCTCTCTGGACTCTTTACCACGTGAACTTCTCAGGGCTCCCGGAAGAAAGTCCACCAAAATATAGAGGTCCTCCTAGGACTTTGGTCCCCAGAGATGTCCCACCTACATGATGGTCCATACCTAGACTCAAGCGCTTTGTCAACACTTCCTCCTGAGCCTTCCTGTGACTCCTAGGTTACCTCTTCCAGGTAAGGGGCTCTCAGCTCACCCTTCGGGTAAGACCGTCTCTGCAGATTTCAGTGCAGTGTGTTACTACATGTTCAATTCTCCCCTGGGTCCAAAAAAAGCATTAATTTTCAGGTTGTCCATTTTCTTAGCGTAAGGATGGAAATGACAATTTCCAGCCCTTTTATGTGTCTGAGCTGAGACCAATGCCCTGTATTAACTCCTTTTACAATCTCACCTGATTAGGTCAAGCACACTAAGAATAAACACTCTTTGTATAAAGCTAGGCCCAGGAGGGATATTTCACTGCACTTGTGAGTCCTTTCTAGACTTGCAGGGAGAGGATTACATAAGATGAGTGCGCCCTAGGGAATGAACCTTGGGGGCTGAGAATTCTGTCTACAGCAGCTTACTGCAGGAGGTGATCCTTGAACTTTGTTCCAAAGGACGAGGGGAGGGAGTCAACCTAGAGGATGGGAAGAGAATGCAAGGCAGAAGGATCAGCAGGTGCAAACAAGAGAGAACATAGAATGTTCTAAGACCTGGAGGCTATGTGCAAGCTCATCAAATTGTGTACACCAGGCAGATGCTTTTTTAAAATTTTTTTTTACCTTGAGATAAGTTCCTCTAGGAGCTCCCTTTGCAGGGTCAGTAGACAAAGTAAAGCATGAAGAAGTGTCCTCGTTGACCAAGAGCATCTTGGATTATTGGTTTTGAGTGCCTGGATGTTGAGGTCACCTGAGGGATGTTCTGGGTGAGCACTCGCCTTGTCCTGGGGGTGCTGTGCTGATGGGTGTGGTTGTTCCCCTCTGAAATGCTCTCCCCTTAGCTCTAACGAACTACGGCTTTAATGAACAAGGTCTTGGCACACAAGTGTTGTTGTCTTCAATTTTGTCTTGTTAAGCAAATCTTTTCCTTCTTTCTTTCCTCTGGACAAAAACGGTTACAATTCAACACCTCAAACTCTCCC